ATTATTTTAGGTGAATAAAAGACCAAGAGTTGGTAAATAATATGCAAATTTAAAATTTATCTAATTAGCAATATAGCTTCACAATTCAAATAGTTGCAATTTTATATATATATATTCAAATTACCAAAGTTGTTAATTTAGATCCGGATGAAGTCGAAGTAGCTGAAAAAGAACTGAATAATGATGAAGAAATTGAGAAAGATATGGATGAATATGAGAAAAATACGGATACTGATGAGTAAAAGTTTTTTTTAGTTTGTTTTTTTTTATATATGAATAATGCTGCGTTTTTTTTTTTATATTTCTTTAATATAGGATTATCAAGAATTTTCTTTTTTTATATTTTTTTATATGTAATATTTTTATATTTTAAATAAAATAAAATAAAATTATAATAAAATATTGATTTTGTTTATTTGAATAAATATCTTATAATAAAATAAATTTAGTATTTTCAAATTAATTCAAAATATTGCGAATAAATCATAAATTAATGCTTTTCAAATATATTTATATAATACATTTTATTAAATTATTTCGAATTATTCGATTTAATTCAATTATAATTGATTTAAATCGAAAAAGTGCGATATTTCCATTTTCTTATAATTAAAGTTTTATTATTCATATTACTGCTTACATCAGTTTATAGCGCATGGTTGCGATTTGTTGCGAATTATTGTGATTTAATTAGCATAATATTGCGTAATTTATTATGTATGTATTTTGTAATATTCCGTAATTGATAATTGCATAAGATTCTGTGTCATTGCAAAATTCTTGCGCAAGATTTCAGTCCGTAATAACTTACGTAAGATTATGTTTATATATTTTGCTGATGAATATCTTTCACAAATATGTCTTTATTATTGTTTAATAAAGTTTTTATAATTATTTTTTCTTTTTACTCAATTGGTCTAGACTATTATTCACACTCAGGCCTATAGGATCTATCTTGGTTAAGTATACGGCCAGATTGTTGTCTTTAATTACTATTTCTTCTTCTTCATTATCTAACTTCCATTCTTCAGAATAATAGGTCTCATATTCTTTTAAATCTTCCTTTTTGATCTAAGCTATCCCCATCTTCGCCTTTGGCTACTAAGGGTTGGTTGTCTAGGTGGGTGGTTGGTATAATTGTTCCTTGCCCGTTGTACTTTACCCTTAGAGTTCAGGTATTGAAGTCCCATTGGGCTTGTACTTTTTCAAACCAATCAGTTTCTAAAAAGAGAGTCTTGTCTGGGAACTCAATAACTTGGAGTTGGGTAGGTATAAGCATGTCTTGCACAGCTAATTTGGCATCATTAACTTGTCCTAATGCTCTTTCCTTTTGCCTATTTGCTGTAACTATAACCACCCTGGATGGAGTATTTATAGCTAGGTCTAATTTTCTTCTTAGCCTATCAGTAATTATACTGATAGCTACTCCTGAGTCAAGGATAGTGATAACTGGATTACCATATACTCTAATATAACATTTTGTGGTGTTAGTTCTACACGAGTCTACATTATCCATATTGTTCACATGGTTTATATTTGTAGATTCGGTTGGCTTGGGATTATGGTGTAATAGCTTGGCCAGGTTTCTCCTTTAATTAGGATACTGGAGCATTTGAGCAAGGGTGGCATTGGATAAAAGTTTTAGAATATCTTTGAAGATATTATAGAGCTTGACTTGGTCGATTATTGATGGCTATCTTTTACTTCTCAATTTCTTTACATTAGGTTATAACTTGACCACCTCTTTGTCCACTTGTATAGAGTTGAGCTTAATGCATTTTCTCAAATTATACTCCCCTTGAGGTTCTACTCTCTTTCCTTTATAGGTTTTAGAGTTGGTATCATATGGCTTGTAGTGGTCTGTACTTCTACTATATATTTGTTTCTTGTTATACAAATGTTCACTATTATTAACCCAAGCCATATTTACTCTTCTATCTTCAGGCCTATTAGGTCTACCATGTTCATTTTGATTTCATCACTCAGTCAGACAGTTATATACCAGGTAACCACATTTACCACACACATAACACCAGCAGGTTTCAGAACTTGCAATATGTGGGCTAGGCCTAGGTAAGTAGATATGTCTAGTGTTGTTTTCTGGGGATACAAGTGCTGAAGTGAGAAAGGTATAATTCAATGATAATTGCTGCATCTTCTGAGTTAGTGAATTTATATCATCTTCTATCTTTCTTTCTGGAGTCTTCTCTTTACCTAATTTGCCTCTTAAATAAAATTTTCCAGCCTCTACTTGCTCTGCTACTTCAATTGCCTCCTCTAGAGTCTGTGGATCCTTCATGGTGGTGTACATGGCAATCTCTTGCCTCAGTCCAAATATAAACAAATGAACTATATAATCATCTGGTATCTTATTTTTGGGTTGACCTTTTTCCTAAGTTGCTTAAACTTAGTAACATACTCAGGGACGCCCTTGTTCGATATTATACAGCTCATTGTGCTATTTATTTTTCTTTTCTAGGGTTTCAAAATGCTTATTAAACAAGGCTATGAATGATGTGTCTTTAGCATTGAACCAGCTAGTAATCTTTTCCTTAACATTGTTATACCAAAAAGAGGCATTCCTGAGTAGATAACCAGAGGCAATCTCTACTTTCCTATTATCTTTCCAATTGTTGGCTAATACAGCCTTTTCAAATATATTAATTCACTCAGTAGGGTCTTCATCCTCCATATCTTGGAATTGATCAACCCTAATAATAGTTAATTTTTTCACATTATTTGTAGTAGCTCCTATTTAAACTTGTCAGCTACTTTCTTGAAACCATTAGCAACTTGCTTGAAGAGTTGGCAAAGTTGATTGGAATCCATTATCAAATTTTAAGCTACATATAACTTATAATCTTACTTTATCTGATATACTTGAATTTTGCTAATTTATTTCTAAATGTTCACATAGAACCAAATACTGTAGCTCACACAGAGCAATTTTCTTTAAACTCACACAGAGTTATCCTTCTAAATTCAATGTTAATTCTTTGTTACGAATCTCATAGGTCACCACCAATTGTTAACCTGTGTATACCTCTCAGCAGTGGTATGATATAGTTGTTTTAGTTTAGTGATTTGGCAATTCGAAAGAGTGTATGATAACAGATCCAGGGTGTAGGTGAGATTTTCCAGGTCACATGATCAATCGATCTCCGGTCTAGATCAAGATCACTTAATTTCCTGTTTCACGGATCAACATAAAAAAATAAATAGATGTACATACACAGATTTTTTTTTTACTTTTTTTTTTTTTTTTAATATCACCGTTCGTCCCTTTTTTTTTTAACATTGCTGTTCGTCCCTTTTTTTTTTTTTTTTTAGCTTTTTAACGTCGCCGTTCGTCGTTGGTGTTGTCACTATTGTATCGTTTTGTCGTCAGTTTGGTGTTCACTTGTAGGTAAGATACAGTCGTTGTTTCATTAGTGGGGTTTATTTTTTTTTCTTTTATTGTCATTTTGTCACATCTTTATTTTTTGTACTGCTGTTTCATTTGCAGTTTTTTTCTTTTTTTTTTTATAGTACCATTATTTCGTTATTTTATTGTCGTCTCGTTATTTCGTCATCATTGTCATCATTTCATCGTCGTCATCGTCATTTCATTTAATGTTTTGCTAGATGCGTGGCACTGTAATTGTTGTTAATGAGTGGGTTAGTGTTAGATAAGGAATAGGGTTAGATAATTGTGTTAGATTAGGATAGGTAGTGTTAAGGTTAGTATTAGTACATAAAGAAAAAGAAAAACA